TAATAATGATACAGTAATGATGGGCTTTGAATGGTTAGTCATCTTCAAAAATTAAATATAGCTAGATTTGTTGTTTTGGGGGTGTGTGTGTGTGCGATAGGAACATGTGTAAATATCATCATTGGGGAATGATGATATAATAATAATAATAATCTACCTAAGTGATTTTTCTAGATGATTGAATGTTTTATTCCTTTAAGTACCCAATTAAAAACAATTATCCAATTTTGAAGGAAATTTTTCCAAAATGTATTGGATTTTACCTATATACTTTAACAAATGATGATGAACACAATCTAACCTTTTCTTGGTGAATCAGAGTAATCATTCATATATCAAATATAATGCTGTAATACTGTAATTCCCCTATATTATTGAACTACATTGGTCTGTTTGTCCTACAATAAAAGACCTCAGCTACATACTTATGTATTTTGAGTTCTTTGGGGCATTTTGTTTTGTTTTTCTAATGCTTTTTCCTCTTTCTTTATCAGCTTCCATTCTTATCACTTTCAGTATATCTACCTGTAATTGTTTCCTAATCTGCTTTTCTAATTTGCTGCATCTCATCTGCTCGGAACAGGAAAGATGATAGCAAGGTTTAGACTCTCAGAATAGAAAATTACAGGTATATCTCACAGAGATTACAGCTTTGGTTCTAGACCACTGCAATAAAGTGCATATCACAGTAAAGTGAGTCGCACAAATTTTTTGGTTTCCCAGTACGTAACTTTTATATGTAAAAGGTAGTTTATACTATACTGTAGTCTATTAAGTGGACAATAGTATTATGTCTAAAAAAATCAATGTATATACCTTAATTTAAGATAATTTATTGCTTTAAAAAAAAAGTGCTAACCATTATCGGAGCCTCCAGCGAGTTGTAATCTTTTTGCTGGTGGAAGGTCTTGCCTCAGTGTTGATGGCTGCTGACTGACCAGGGTGGTGATTCCTGAAGTTTGGGGTGGCTGTGGAAATTTCTTAAAAGAAGATAGCACTCATGTTTGTTGCATCAATTGGCTCTTCCTTCCCGGAAAGATTTCTCTGTAGCATGCTGTTTGATAAATAGAATTTTATCCATGGTAGATCTTCTTTCAAAATTGGAGTCAGTGCTCTCAACCCCTGCCACTGCTTTATCAACTAAGTTTATGTGATATTCTTCAATATTCTTGTGTCTCAGGGAACAAGGAGACCCAAGGACAGGGAGAGAGATGGAGAATGGCCAGTGGGTGGAGCAGTCAGAACACACACACACGTTTGTCTATTAAGTTTGCATTTTATATGGGTGTGGTTCATGGTGCCCCGAAACAATTAAAATAGTAATATCAAAGATCACTGATCACAGATCACCATTACAGATATAATAATAACAAAATAATATAATATATAAATATAATACACAATGAAATATAATAATGAAAAAGTTTGAATAATGAAAAGTTTGAAATATTGTGAGAATTACCTAATTATTGTGATTTAACTAATATAACTAAATTAATATATTAAATTGTGCAAGAATTGCCAAAATGTGACACAGAGACACAAAGGGAACATGTGCTGTTGGAAAAATGGTGATAGTAGACTTGCTCAACACAGGGTCACCACAAACTTTCAGTTTGTAAAAAAAAAAACAAAAACAAAAAACCCTGAAATATCTATGAAGTACAATAAAACAAGGTATACCTGTACAAACCTGGAAGGGATTGTAGGATTGTTTAGTCCAAACCCATCATTATACAGATGAGGAAACTGAGGCTCAGAAAAACTTGCCCAGAGTCTAGCTAGAACCCATGTCTCCTAGCTTCTTATTCACATGCAAAGTGCTCCCTTCACTATGCCATAGTACAATTAGGTTTACATTATAAATATTTGGGTTCTGAGTGAAAGCCAGGTTTTTATGAAGACGTAAGTGCTTAGATTCTGTGGCATATTTTGATTTCCCTGAGGACTTTTTTCTTTATTTCCTGACTCTATGTTTCAGAAACTTGAGGTGTTACTCCTCATCCTCATGTCTCATTCACTGTCTCTGTCTGCTTGTCGGTCAGTTTGTTTCTCTCTTTCTCTTTCTCTCTCTCTCTCTCTCTCTCTCTCTCTCTCTCTCTCTCCCCCCACTGATTATTTAGTTTAATTGATGTTATCTGTCCTACCATTAGAATGACCTGGATATTTAAGAAAAAAATTAAAAAATCCCAGACACTCAGAGGTGTGGTATTAATTTAGATATCTCTCTTCCCACAGTTAGGTATAAGGTTTTCCTAACATCTTTATGCTGTTTTAAAATAATAAACCATCAAACTTAGATTATAGGTATGATCAAAATAATACACAAATGTCATTTAAAATAAATTGAGTATTCTCATTTTATATAAATTTTGGTTCTGACTCATAAGGATGGTCCTCTTTTGCTTTTATGATAGCCATTTTTTGTTTGACAAAAGAACTGAAATAAGAATGCGTTATGTATAACTGTGTAACATAATTGTCCTTTTTGTTGCTATTCAGTCATTTTCAGGCATGTCTGACTCTTCCTAACCCCCTTTGGGATTTTCTTTGCAAAGATACTGTAGGGGTTTACCATTTCCTTCTCCAGCTCACCTTACACATAAGGAAACTGAGGCAAACAGGGTTAAGTGACTTGTCCGGGATCACACAGCTAGTAAGTGTCTGAGGCCAGATTTGAACTTGGGTGATGAGGCTTCCTTCCTGTAGACCCTCTGTCCTCTACAGTCTATCCACTGGAACACCTAGCTGTCCATATTTGTCCTGAACTTTAATTAATCTACTTTAAAATGCTGTTTTCATTCCGTTTCTGTCATTCTTTCAGTTTAAGTTGTTAAAGCTCAAAATTCAGAAAAGACTTTTATGAAGAACCTAGTATTTTGTCATTTGGCCTTAAACTTGCTTCTGGATTAAACGTGTGTGTGTGTGTGTGTGTGTGTGTGTGTGTGTGTGTGTGTGTGTG